GCAATAAGGTGTCCAATCTGGAGGGTCCGCATATCACGAATGGACGAGACGACGGGTAAAGAGTGAAACCCGATGGTGAAATCTCGTGTTTGGAGTGTTGATGAGTTTGTAGCATTGGAAGTCGAGTCGAGATATAGATATTCTGGTGTAAACTCTCGGACGAGGTTTTGTAGAGCGCGTTGAAGGAACGGTAGGAATCTAAAAAACCCAAGTCAGCAAATGATTCTCCGCCACGACTTGGGGCGAACTCGCCGGTAGTATTGTCCCTCGATAGCCTGAGCGAGGACCTCGTCGCGGTTCATCAAATGACCCCAGTCAACGAATAGAGTCGTGAGTTGGTACTCTTTCATGGCCTGTATCTGGGCAATGTAAGAAGATTCTTCAGAAAAATCCATATCGTCATTCATGCCTGGTGTTCCAGGAAGCTGAACACGTTCTGTGAAACTGAGGGCACAAAGCTTAGCTGAAATCCCATGTCATAAGCGCGACAAACTCACTCCTTCAAGAACGCCTCAAACTGTTCCATGACCTTCTCTCCAGTCGCATCCCGTACTGGCGGTATGTCGCCAGGCATCCTATTGCGCCTTCCTCCGCGCCGTTGTCCTCCTCCAGCAGCAGCTTCTTCCTCCTCCTCTGCGCCGTGAGCCCCAGCCATAGCTAGCGGATCGATGGCCACTCTTTGACGCGGGCTACGAGGTTGTGGCGAAGATCGAGAATGTACTGATGAAGACATGATGATTTTATCTGGTGGAATTGGACGCGCCAAGGGGATCAGTTCAAGTGGAAACGCGACCGCGACGGAAAGTCCGCCGTTAGAGCCGCGATGTGCCTCAGTGCGGTTTCGTCTTTCATCCAACCACAAACTCATGTCCGATGAACAGCCTGAAGGAAGTGCAATCCGTGCCATAGATCGATCGACCGTTCATAGAATTACTTCTGGTCAAGTTGTCGTTGACTTGCAAACAGCCGTAAAGGAGCTTGTTGAGAACAGTTTAGACGCTGGAGCTACCAACATTGGTAAGCCCGATCTGGTACTGAATTCTGAAAAATGGCTTAATAGATATTCTGAAGAGATAAGGCTCAAGGAATATGGTCTGCGGTCGATCGAAGTAATTGACAATGGAAGCGGTATTTCCAAAGAAAATTATGAAAGCATAGGTGAGTTGTGTTTCGCCCCTATATCCAAACGTCAGATAGATCTAATAGGGTCCTGAAGCACTAAAGCATTACACATCAAAACTCTCTACGTATGAAGACCTGACAACTGTGCGGTCCTTTGGCTTTCGTGGAGAGGCGCTATCGTCTCTGTGCGCGCTTTCCGACAGCGTCACTTTCACAACTGCTACGGAAGCAGAAGCTCCAATGGCAACTATTCTTGAGATGGAACGAAGCGGAAAGCTGAAGCACTGTCATGGGAAGGCCGCGCGTTCGGTAAAAATTCTTCATAAAACTGCGTTGCACTTTCAGAAGGCACTAATAGACCTTCCACGTAGCGTGGAACAACAGCAACTGTTACAAGACTCTTCTCTCCTCTCCCCGTACGAAGGAAGGAATGGGAACGGAACGCGAAGCGCGAGTTTTCAAAGGCATTGACACTACTAAACGCGTATGCATTGGTGCCCTGTGCCCAGGAGAATCGAGGTGTTCGACTTCTGGTATACAACCACCCCGATGCTGGGTGAGATCAACATAAAATCTTGTTGTCTTACCATCATGCTGATTTTTCGCTTCACCAGAAAACGCACCATCCAATTCCGCACAGACGGTTCGCCTTCTATTCGTTCATCCGTGTCTGCATTGTGGGGACCAAAGCAATTGGACACCTTGGTACAGCTAGACCTTAAGCTAAATGTTCAAAGGGAGAAAGCTTCCTTGAAAAGAGTTGGGGATTCGGATAGGTTGATTGCTGCGCTGGTACTACCCCATTGCATTCTTCTAACGACTCGGGAACAGCTCCACAGATGTCCATGTGTCAGGCTTGATATCAAAATTCGCTTCTGGTAGTGGTCGGACTGGCACAGATCGTCAATTCTTCTATGTCAATGGTCGACCATGCAGCCTCAGCAAGGTACGTGTTACCGAAGGGGCCTTCCTTGAGACAATCAGTCAGCTTATTTATCGATATCTTTCAACAGATTCAAAAGGCGTTTAATGAAATATATAGGACCTTCAACTCAAACCAAAGCCCTTTCATTATTGCCGATTTTCGACTACCAACAGAGGCCTGCGATATCAATGTCAGCCCAGATAAACGCATGATCTTTGTTCACAGTGAAGATAACTTGATCGCAGCTCTGAAGGTACCTATTTTCTCCTTCGTCTTTGCCTCTGTACTTGCATCGATTGAACTAGGTTGACATTGAAGGAATCGCTGGAGGCAACCTTCTCGCCCGAACGCTCCACTTTTGCGGTCGGTCAAATTCAGGTCAAACCTTCACGACAACAGAGTCGGAACACAAAAGCCATAGAAGTGGATATTGGAATGGACGTGGATGATGACCGGCCCGTGGCCTCATCCAGTGCAGGAAATAGACCCGAAGCACGTAAGGAGGAGACAGAAAGCCGGCTCGATTCCTTCCCGCTACACAGAGGATTCGTTTCGGATGATACTGAAAGTGACGGACAGCCTCATTCAGACCCAGTATCGGCCACGGCATCGTCGGACGATAATGTGCCAGCCGACAGAGCCGACTCACGCAGCGAAGAAGCATCCTCTGCATCATCAAAGGAATCCAGTTGTCAACCTTCAACATCGCCTGCGAGTATGCAAAGGAAGCCGTTGTCACCGAACCATATCGAGCCAATCACGCCATCAAAACCGTCATCCTCGCAAGCACCTAGGCAACTTTCTCAGCTGCCAGAAGCGACCGAATTCACACAAGTCCTCTCGCCCGTTGGCACTCGAAAGTCATACACTGTCGCTCCCGAGAAGCCCTCCGAGATATTGCGACCCAAGAACAAACGCTCAGTGCAGGCCATTTTATCCACTGCAGGTGCCTCTTGGAATCTTCAGAGATCGTCTGAAAATGACGATGGAACCGATGAACCCCGGAAGAAATCCAGGGTGGACCAAACATTGCCTGCACCACGGAAGTTGGACTTCAAGGCTAGGATGAGCAGTTTTGCTCGGATAGGGGGCCAAAACATGGATTCAGTGGGGCTCAATGCTGATGACGGCGTTGCAGGACCCGCGTGCGACAATCATCTATTCGGGGAAAGTGGGAGTGATGATAACGCAGATAGAGAGAGCTCTCAAGAGGCTACAAGCACTGCCGAGAAGGAAGACCGCAAGAGTGACAGTGAAGCGGAGGAAGTCATGGTCTTAGAAGATCGAGTTCCGTCGACAGGGCCGGAGTGCATACCAATCGGTGTGAACCCGGTTCCCGGTCCGTCTTCGTCTAAGCCAATCCACACACCATCATCGATACAACATAGCTCATCAGCTCGCCCCCTTTTTCCGCCCTTATCGCCCGAAGCCACCATTGATCTGACGACAGACGAACCAGGCGAAGATGTGTCGTCAGAAGAGGTGCATCACGCAGCCAACGATGGTTCCTTCCACCCTGCTACAAGCATTACACCGATGTCAGCCAACAGAGGAGACCACAGTCTGCGGGTGGAACTCACCCGACTGTGCCATGTATGGAAAACTTATCGCTCTCCATCCGCACCGCCGCATTCCTCATGTTCCGGCAAGAATATCGCTATCAGCGCGGCTGCTTCGAGCATACAGAATGACGGCAGCGCCGAGCGGGAGCTCAGCCGCGTCATAAATAAAGCTGACTTCGGGGCTATGGAAGTTGTTGGCCAGTTCAACAAGGGCTTCATTATTGCTCGGCTACGAAAGGGACAGAACCGGCTAACAAATAAAACACCTGGTCCCAGGGACGATTCGCAGAAGACATTGGACGATCTTTTCCTCATTGACCAACACGCCGCTGATGAGAAATATAACTTCGAAGATCTTCAAGTGACGACTAAGATTCAATCACAACAACTATACAGGTAACACCATTTCAGCGCAACATATTTCATGGACCTGCTGACGTCATAAAATTTGACTCGTCAGACCTCGACCACTAGAACTCAACGCTGCTGACGAGATGATTGCGCGTGAGAGCACTGATGTCCTGCGTAAAAATGGATTCGAAATCGCGGTGAAAGGCGGCGACGACGCCGAATCTGAAGAACGGGAGCGAGTATACTTAACAGCGCAGCCCATCAGCAAAAGCACCGTGTTTGACATGAAAGGCAGGTCACTTGCCATATATTAGTAGCACCCTTATATTTATTATCCTCTATCCACTTAGATCTGGAAGAGCTGCTTCATCTTCTACAGAGCGTACCATCTGGTCAGATGGTACGGTGTTCGAAAGCTCGGGCGATGTTTGCCAGCCGCGCCTGTCGGAAAAGCGTCATGATTGGCAATGCTCTAACAATGCGTCAAATGACAACTGTGAGTAACCAAGAATGCTTGGCATCGACCTTACAGCCAAATCCTTAAGGGCTGTTGCTTTCGCTCTAGATCGTTCGGCACATGGCTACCATGGACCAACCATGGAATTGTCCTCATGGTCGCCCGACGATGCGACATCTCAGCCGAGTTCGTGGCAATGACAACGTTAGAACCGTCAGCTGGGCGAGCTTCACGATGTAGACGAGCTTTGCCTAGTCAGCTTGCCTTGTCATTATCTACTTCCTCAATGCATTTTCACCTTCATTTAACGCCACGGAGATGGCCCACGGGGAAACACCAGTATAAGCTCCCGAAGACTGATATATACCATCAAAAGCGAACTGGCAATCCTGAACCCTTGCTGTTGGGCATTTTGCTGATAGCATAATCAGCTCAGGAGGATCCTGCTGATCAGGCGCGGAAGTTATCCACATGTCGCTTGCGTCTGCATATATCAGTCTGAGTGATACCATTGGTGATGTGATTGTCCTTAGCTGCCAATATTGTTGCTATCACGCTAAAAGGACCACCCCTTCGGTGTCAAGGTTGTGTAGTGTAGTGGTTATCACATCGGATTCTGATCAGACTGGTCTGGAAGAATCCAGCTCACACCTTCCGGTAACCTGGGTTCGACTCCCAGCATGACCTACGTTTTTCACTTTTGTACTACGCGTAGCGGATCCTTGGTTCAAATCTGGCTGTTGAGCCATCACTTTGTGCGCCTAATGCTTTTCGTTCCATTTGTAAATAGTCTACCTACACAAGCAGATGAGCGCAGACGGTAAGTTTATACCTCATGCGAGCCCACCACCTTAAAGTTTTGACTTATATAACTATTTAGTACATGCCACTCCCGAACCAAGATAGATTTGAGGTTTGACCCAACGTGGGTCCTATCAGGAGACAGTATCCTGTTATCACCACGATGACCCACCTTTCCAGTAGTCGTGTTCTTGGTGACAAGAGGTCACCTCCAGTGGTACCGTCTTGACGCTCGCCAACTTCCCATATGAAAGTCTCGGGCGCATCTTTCAGCGAACAAACGTAACCGTGTCTTCGACGAGATGAAGGAAGTATACCCAACTTACCTCCAGGCCTGACAGTACTGGTAAACCGTGCACCAAAAACATTCTCAGTGCCTGAGGATCTTCACCCCCGACCGCATCCAACACAACACGGCCCCCAAAGCCATAAGTCGGGTGACCGTGGAGGATAGCACCGCCTAATCCCATCCGTAAGCCGATGGAAGGAACTAACGTCCCACACGTGAGGTAACAACACCAGGTGACGCATTGGAATATACACCTAATGCACTAACCAACATGTAAAGCGTTGTAATCACCGCTCAGGCGGTAAAGGATCGTCTCTTCTCCAGAAGTTGAATCGACGACCAGGTGGTCTGGTTTCCTGTCTTTAGGAATGGGCTTTGCTTGGGGAGAGTAAGCTATGGCTCCAGAAAACATTGATCCCGTCCCTTTTGCTCCAAAGTGAAAGCTTGTGGTCTAGGAGAAATGCAAAGGCAATAAAAATGAGGGATCTAGAGAATATAACGAAGACTTGATGCTCCCCATCACCATGCGACAGTAAGGGATACCTTGAGCGTCGACCAAGGCCATCTCACGGTTGATGATGATAGCGGACTCTGATTGATTGTATCGAGGGGTCAGCAACTAGCCATCAATCAATATCATAACTCGTAATTGGCTCTCACTGACCTCGCGAACACCTATAATCGTTTTCTTGGTTCTCTAGCCATTACTGGATTCTACAGGCATCTGTCGGTAGATCTCGATGCTTTTCGAAGTGTGAAAGATCCCCTCCGGCTTCAGCAGAGGTAAACTCGCATTGATATCATCAAGCTGACGGGAGGACATCCATTCGGCAAAGTCAACCGCGTGTTGGTGGACTCCCTTGATGAACAAGGTGGTGGGTATGTATGGAACTTTCCGGATGATTTATCTTGCAGGAAGAAAGAAAGAAAGAATAAACCCATCGGCGCCGGACCGAATGGATTAAAGGCCTTCAACACATCCAGCCTCCGACCCGGGATGAGCCTTAGCCTTCAAGCCCGCCACTCGCCTAACTCATATACGAACCCGGAGTCATCCCTCTTTCCCCCAATGCCGACCGCATAGAGCATTATTTCCTTCTTAGTCTGACTGACAGGCTGATCTGGCGATCGATGACCGACAGCCTTAGCTAAGTCGGCTTGCCCTCCCACCTCACACGCAACATAAGTTTTCCCATGGCAGTGACAGTGGTCTGGAGATGCATAGTTGAGTTTGGGAGGAGAGATCAACTCAAAATCCTCAGGGTCCGTGAAGGTACATCTGGCTTCGATGTAGTTCACTCAAAATCATGGAAGATTAAAATTCCGTGAGTTGTGCTGTACCATACATATGTATCCGGGATACCATTAAGACGGGTGCCCGGCACCTCACAGCCTGGACTTGTTCGATTTTTTGACATAGGCAACGCCTCCACCTAAACATACCTGAGAAGCACCAGAGTCAGGTTCGAAAGTACCAGACCAACTCGAAACGTGAGTCTTGGGGTTTAACTCACTTTACCAGTCGCCATGTTCTTTGTGACGAAAGCGATCTCAGTCGTGTCGTCTGGGCCACTTCCAACCTCCCACATCGACGTCTCGAGCGCCTCTGTGATTCGACCAGATAAGTTGTGAGAATATAGTGCCATTCGCGCTTTTGGTTGAAAATGAAACGTACCGCCGGGCTTCACAGGGCTTGTGAATCGGACGCCGAAGGTTTTGAGGGAGGATGGGTCGTCACCTCCGACTGCCTTCAACACGGCACGAGCGGCAAAGCCATATGATGCGAGGCCGTGTAGGATGACGCCGCCGAAACCTGCCCTCTGTCCGATCGACGGGTCTATATTCCATTTTCGCGATAGTAAGCATGGCAAAGTCCCATAGCATGTGAATTGTGAAATGTGAAATTATTTTATTTTTCCCGCTAGCTCACCAATATGAAGAGCGTTATAATCCCCGCTCAAACGGTAAACGATTGCTTGCTCCTCTGTAGTAGACTCGGTTACGATGTAGTCTGGCTTCCTGTCCTTTGGAATCGGTTTGCCCGCAGGAATCCTGCCGATCATCTGTGAGAAATTCCCGTTCGCTTTCGCGCCGAGGTTGAAGGAGGAGCTCTAGAAAATAAGGTGAAGCCATTTAGTAGATCATGGCCCTTTCGGGGCTGAAGACGGTAGAGGGATTTACAATCATCCTGCAGTACGGCGTGTCATGTGAGTCCACCAATATGGCTTCACCGTCGATGATGATGCCCGACTTGTTTTCGTGAACTCCGATAATCTTCCTCTTTAGCTTCCAGCCAGCGCCAGATTCGACGGGAATCGGTTTGTACATTTCGATGCTCTGCGCGCCGTGCACGACGCGGTTCGGATCAAATTTTGGGAGGCCAGGAGGTTGGGTCCCACCAGCGGCCAATTTGACAAAGTTGACCACATCTTGAGAGATACCTAGGACAAAAAGGTTCTGTTTTTAAACTTTTCAGGTTTTTTCACGAGTGGGACTTTTCGTTTGTCGCTACCTTTGAAGAACAGGACGACGGGGTAGGTGGGGAACGCCGCGAAAGATTCGTCTATTAAATGAGTTATGGAGAAAGGCTCAGATGTTGAAAGCTTTTGAATGATTTTAATCTATGGTAGGCACGACGGGCTCACCTAGTTCGTAGACGAATGTGAAATCATCCTTTTTCGCGCCGATGCCGACCGCGTAGAGAACCAGATCCCTAGCCAACCAGCTGACTGGGGTGTCTGGGAATTCATATCCGACGGCCTTTGCCAAATCGTAAGTCTTGTTTGATTCACTCATGTTGTCGTTTGAGAGGATTCCGGTGGCTTTGTGAGTGGTCGAACTTGAGTGATCCGAACGATCATCTGTACTTGAAGGAATCGAGGGGCCGAAGAAGCCGTATCCGGCTATTATGTTTCCCGATGTACCGGCACGACGCCTCGGCTGCTGGTCGAATCTATTCGCCACGCAACCTCCATTCGATTCGCTCGAAGCCCATTCTTCCTTATGGAAGAGATTCAGCGCCTAGCTTGAAGGAAGTGGCTCTGTCCGATCGGCTCACAATTCTGCTATCTATCAAGCAACCGGACCTTCCTCAAAGAGTTGAATGGAGGCAGCGGATAGCTTACTTCGGCTATATTGGACTTCGGATGGCCTTGTGATTTGGACGACTTCCGGATCAGCTCTCGTACTGTAAAAATTTTGAGACGTTGACCGTTCAGCTTATCTGAGCTATTGCTTACCTGACCCGAACTGTCTGCCTCGTGTGCGTCTTCTCACACTCTGGTCCGCTTGTCCCGGATTTTCCACCTCAACCACGCGGCAATTCTTTACGACCTATGGCATACATCTACAATCTATCCTTGAAACTGGAAGACTTCTCGCCTATTAATGCTCCGGGTGGTTCAAATACGGGCGCGTTTGGATCGAGACGGGGCTTTTGGCCCAAATACGACAAGGTCGCAGATAAATTCGACCGAGACATGATGGGCCGCTTAGACAGCAATCTTGATGTCCTCCTCATATTCGTGAGGACTTACCTAAAAATATCACTCACTTGATACTCAGACTGAGTGATCTTTGTTCAGGCTGGTCTTTTTTCCGCCGTCGACACTGCCTTCATCATCCTCACACTCACCGCGCTGAGCGCCAACCCCATCGACCAAACAAACCACCTCCTCACTTTACTCGTCATGAACGCCAGCAATAGCACGCTCACTGCAAGTGACCTCAGTCCACCGTTCGTTGCTGGAAGTGGCGTAGTCCGTCAGAACTGCCTTTTCTTTGCGAGCCTCTCATGCAGTCTTCTCGCTGCTGCAGGTGCAATGCTAGCGAAACAGTGGGTTCAGGCTTACGAGAGGACTGGGCAGACTGGTCCGCTCGATCAGCAGGGTATTAGAAGAACAGAGAAGTTCATCGGAGCCGACAAATGGGGACTCCGGCCGGTCGTAGAACTCCTCCCGACATTGCTCTTGGTTTCGCTCGCCCTCTTCTTCGCTGCACTCATCGACTATCTCTGGACGATAGACAGGTTGGTGGCGCTGGTGGTGTTAGTGTTTGCAGCTGGAGGGGCATTGCTCTATGGGCTAATGATTGTCGCCGCTGCCGTGTTCCCAGCTTGCCCATTCCAAACGGCGCCGTCGGCCGGCCTCCTACTGGCCTTCTCCGCTATTCAACGTCTTGTATACGCCGAGATGCCTGAATGGTCGTCTCGTACCTATCTGAGGACCATCAAAGATGAGATCGAGTACTGGATAAAGCATCACAGCGTTCGGACCACCTCCGAGATAAACACAATTATCGCTTGGATTGCTACTGGGCTTCTCGCATGTTTCACGATCCCGACCGCAGTTGTACCCCGCGCATTCGTACAGTTCCTACGATCCTTCATCCGACCCCCTCGCAAATCAGACCACTCAGACCCAGACCAACTCTTCGCGGTATCGGCAGTTTTCATGGCAGAGGCGGCACCGTATGCCGAAAACATACTCACCATAGCCGACAACCTTCCACTCCTCTCTAATTTCCACGCCCTGCAACTCATAAACCATAGTACATTATTCCAATTACTCCTATCCCAACTTCGGAAGTCCCTCTCAGT